GCACATTGGTGTCTGTCTGATCTCATCCTTGTTTTCACTTCACCCTTTTGGGGCTTGCAGGACCAATGTGTTGCAGCAATGAGTTTATTGCCGTGTTGATTTGTAACCCGTGAATGTTTCCAATGAGCTGTGTCTAATTTATTGGCATAAACCATTAGATTTTCCTTGAATGCCCTGGAGTTTATGATTCACCAGCTGAAAACTATTATTACAGAGCACATAATCACTTGGAAAGTGCCTCTGTCTTCTCTTTTTTTTATGTGTTAAATTCAGCTACATAAATAGCATTTTTATAGCACTCAGGCCAAAAAGGTACCAAGATGTTCTGCATTTCTGTTTTATTTTTACCTTAGGGAAGCTTGGCCAGTAGTGATGCTCACAGGTGATGTGAGCTTTGGGCACTGTGTATAAACTTACCTCATAATGCTTCTGCAAGGGGCTCCAATCAATTGAACAGCTTCAAGTGCACAGGCTGGGTTTGGCACTGTGACAATTTTAGCTGGAAGTACATTTTCATCATAGCAGTGTTTGGTTATCCTTCACTGTAAGGGTGGAAGGGCTTTGCTAGCATCTTGTTGGAAGTAATTCCCGCAACTACGAGAGTAGCAGAGAGCCCAGATTGTTCCCAGAACTAGGATAGAGGATTTGTTGGCCAAGTGTTGCTATGCCTGCCTTCAGCTGAGTACATTTCTAATCTCTCCTCTGCTATTTTAAATGAATGGTAATTGGGCTCCAGTCCCGAAGGAGGATCAGGCTCATTATAGATTTTAATAGCTTAAAAAGAGTTATTAAATCATCTTACCCCTCCAAACCTTCCTTCCTTCCTCCTTTCATGAAAAGCAAAATGGCCCTGCCTTTTGCACAGACCCTGGGTGTTTTGGGTATCAACTTAGTTTCACATCTTATTTTAGGTTTTTCCCCCTAAGCTTGGAGCAGAGCTTAATGGTGTGTCTGTCTACTGCTATTCCTTGATGTCCTAGGCAAATCTTTATCAATGTCTTACTTAAAAGTAGAGAGGTAGGGAAGGAGGGAATCATTCCTCTGGGTACATGTAGTATAGCTGTTTTAAGTGGAGACCCAGCACAGTGCTCAGAGCTGTGGTTGTAGACAGATGGATTCAGCAACTTGGCCAAACTGCTGAGAAAAGCTTCTCGGTACAATTTTCTTGGCAGTGGTGAAAGAAGTGCATCATTCTAAAATAGTAATGTGACAAAGGTGTCTTCTGCTCATTGGAAGGTGAGAGCTGGCTCCCTCTTCTGTGTCTCTACAGAGGACAGGATATTCCCAGGCAGAGAGGTGAAGCTGTGCAATTCTTCCTCATCTGGTATTTCAGAAAGAAGCACTCACTTGCAAATTGTTCAGTTGGCTTATGCTGGTGCACTATTTTTCACCTGTGCTCCACCAGCCTCCCTGCAAGGGAAGAGTTTAGTAGAAAACTTTTGCAAGGGCCACACAGAAAGTGACTGAAGAAAAGGAAATTTGTGCCTACACTCTGCAACAGATTGAATAAGGGAAATTGTAAGAAAAGCACATCTGATGGCAATTTTTTAGGAACCTACATATCTAGGAGATTGAAAGACACTTTGCTAATATTACAAACCTCTGCACTGTGGTAGTGTTTGAAATTCTGCTAATAGTCTTCTTTTTTTAGCCATACAGTAATTGCACCTCTCAATGGGAATCCTACTCAGGAATAATGATGCTATCAAGACAAGGGAATATAGATTGTAGTAAAGGTTATGATGGTTTCTGTGAGAGGTTTAACATTGATCCTTTCAGCTATCTGATTTTTCAGGAGGGGACAAAAACCATAATAACTTTGAGTTAAGCATGTGATTTGGTGTGAGAATTCTCATGGTTGTTTTCAGAAGATGAGACTTGAAGTGAATTCGCTAAACTGTTTGGGTTTTTTCTCTCTTTTTTGATGAATACTTTTAAAAAGAAACCGATTTTTATTTTCCACACATTTTATGCTTTTCTCAGTTCTTTTTTTATTTTTTTTTCTAATGCAAGTCAAAACTGTTAGAGAATTCAAAAGTTAAAATCCGTTATGTTGAAAAGGCCATGTTGTGAAATATATCATAAACACCCTGTTAGAGAAGTGTCTCCTAATTAAGGGAGAGAGCTCCTGGGGAACAGCAAGCCTGCAACACAGCTCAGCCCCCTTTGATCCTCGGTTGAGTTTGTAAAATTGCTGCCCGCCTAAACTTGTCTGCAGCTTGTTACACATTTTATCCATCTGCTGCGAGAACAAAAATAAACGATTTATAATTCAGTTGAACTCCAGTTGTTCAGCATATGACTGACTGTGGAGTCTTCAGTAAGAGGAGGAGGACTGGAGGAGAAGCAAAGCAAAGTCTAAACAGAGTCAGGCACCCTGGAAACTGCATTTCTTTTGCCTGTAGGCAATATATAGTCACTGGGCTGCAAGTTATATAGGAGAGTTGCAGGTGTTGCTGCAAAGTGGTTTAGATTTTTTGGGGTGAAATAGAGTTCAATGTCTATCCATTGTCTATAAACTAAAATCAAACCACTTGTAGGGGGTTCTCTGGCTTTAATCCAGATAAATTTCCAGCTCTTGGGTAGAACTGTGGATTTCTATATATGAGTGTATATGTGTCACGTTTTCCTCTAGCCTACTTACAGCAAGGTGATCCAGGCAACTACTTGGTATATGAAAGTTCTTGTTCAGGTCTTATCTGCCTCCTTGGATGACTGGGTGACCACATCCAAGCCCTGCAGGTGGCTGTAGGTCACTACTTTAATTCCCTTACTGAAGTAAAATCTTGCCTTGAAAAATTCCTCCATCTTTATGGCTGTGATACCAACCTCCCTGTACCAGAGTCTCTTGTGCAGGACTGTGATGTTTGCCTGAGCATGTTGCAGTCACCACAGCATCCAGGAGAAGTGGGATGGCTCTATTGGACCAATTAGATATCAGCTCTGAAATCTAATAATGAGAGGAGCTAATTATTCCCTATGCAAATATCACAAGGCTATGTTCTGTTGATTTTTAGAACAAATCAGCACTTAATTTTAGCACCCATATATTTTATCTGCTTGTTTAGCTATCATTCCTGGATGCTTGCATCCCTCTGAGGGCTACTGCTGCCATGTATCTTGCTGCTGAGGTGGAGGCAGAGCATTATGATATTCTCCTTTCATCAGAAATCAGAGATTCATTTGTTCTTGCAGGTGAATAAATGACAGGTTAAAAATGTATCCAGTATTCAACACTTACCCACCCGAGTTTGTCTCCTTCCATGCCTGGGAGAATCCCACTGTTACAAGTAACATCTCCCAGTGACTTCTCTGGTGCTGTGATTTACCAGTAGTGAATCTGCATTATGCTAAAAATGTGTTCTTTGGAGTGTGTAATCTCTTTAGGTCTATGAGAAAACAGGTTGCACAAAGCAAAGAGGTTTGCCAAGGGCAGGGTTGGAAAGAGGAGAGTCAATGAAGGGAACAGCTCAGCTGGGAGGTTAGGCTATGACATTGTCTGTTCCTTGCCAAAGATTTAATGCATGGCAGGGAGCTTTACCTGGGTCCCAGCGGCTGAGCCAGAGGCTGGCAGCTGACAGATGGATACTGGAACAGTGTATGCCCTGAGCCCAGAGAGTCTGTAACAGCCATCAGCTTCTAAAATGGCTTTAGTAACCTACATTCATTTACTGACCTTGTTAGGACTCCAATTCTTAGTACACACTGAAGCTGATAATAAACCTGTTGGAAGTGTCTGCTGCATAAGTCAACATCACTGAACAAGATTATCTGGCATAGTTATTTTAAAAGGTAAAGTTCTCTTGAGTTGCTGATCTCATCTGTAAGAGTTGCTCACCAAGTAAGGTGGAATCTGCTTAGTCCATGCTCCATTTAAAAATCCAAAACAATGGAATTCCCACTACATTTCCCTGGAGACCATTGCACAAGGTAATACAAACTGTTGCTGAGCTTGTTTTCTCGCAGCTTACAATGTATTTACCCTTTTATAATTTGATTGCTCTTAGACCTCTCAATTCAGTAAGGCACTGAAGCTTCCTTTTTGCTTCTTTTTAGTTGTCTTGTAGTCTAAAATCTGCAACTATTTAATTCTTTCTTCCAAACCCATCATCCTATTTGTAGGTTTCCCCTTCTTCTCAGAGTTCCTAAAAGCATATCTGTCTTGTGATAATGTGGGAAGATGTATATCGGGCAAAAAGGCACACTAACTTTCTGCAAGATATGTTTTTATTTAGAGTTTAGATGAATTTTGAGAAAACATCATATTGACATCATACCAATGCTTTTGTTAACTTGCTTCTGTTCCCAGTAATTTCATACCTGTAATATTCCACCTCCTCTGTTGGTTTTTTTTCATACTATGAAGGGCAAAACAGCTCTGGGTTGTGTTACTCTGGACAGAGAACTTCCTTAGAGCCTTTCTGGAGCAAATAATTTGAGATAGTTGTCTGCCATGGCCTGGTATTGAATGCTTTAGGCCTGTCACTTTAATCAATCAAAACACTTCTCCCCAAATTCTTCTCCCTTCAGTTTTCTCACCTGGACATGCTAATATTAAGGATATGGTGGAAGTTGGCTCCAGGAGATTATTTGACATTTTTGATTGCAGGTTGTTTTTGTACCTTTTTTTTTTCCAGGTCCATTGACAGCTGTAACCAAAATGTGTGTGCTTCAAAAAGGTACTTGTGTTCCAATGTTCTATGTTTTTACTTTTATATAAGGTTTAGCAATTGAATAAAAGCTTTCCAGATCTCTACAGGAATATGTGTAATTTGTCCATCATTTCTGGATTTCTAGTGGTATTCTCAATGGGTAGAATTGCTTTTCCCATTTTCCCTCTCAGTTCTAGACATCTTATGTAGATAGTGTGTCGACAGGTGTTGATGGACAAGCAATTTACAGTAATCTCTTATGGTGCTTATTCTGTAGCTCCCTGAATTATAAGTGACATGCTGGCAAAGCTGAACAACTGATCTCCAGATACTGGCATAGTATTAAACATGGCTTCTGAGGCTGCTCAGAATTTCCTTCAGCCACTGTCTTCTTGGATGTCTCAAATATACGAAGCTATCCAACAAGCAGGAGACTCTATATCTACTTCACTGCTGAATTTGAGTGGAGTGGGTCGTAAGTCAGAAGAAGAGAGGAAGGAGGACTTGGAGAATAATGGAGGAGTTTATGAAGATTATTCTGAGGAATCAGATGATGAACAACACCTGGACCTCTGGGATGAGGAATATTTATATCCTAGAGAAGATGGTTACATTGGGGGTCCTGATCTTGCTTCACAAGTCCTCCCTCATGGCTCAGACATGGGTCCACACAGGCAAAACCAGGTTAAAAATACCAGCAGCTTACCAGAGCAGTGTGTTGAAAGCACAAGGTCTTTGACAGTCAATGGATCCTACTGGACGAGTGAAGATCTCCAGCCACTTGATCGTCTTCCTCCCATCGCTGAGGAAGAAGGTGAGCCCTCTGTGAGGATGGGAGGTCATGAGCACAACCTCAGCTTGGGTGGCTCCTTAAAAAGTAATAATGTCAAGGCAAGTTTTGCAGGTAAGCAGCTAGCATGTACCCTGACACTATTACCCAGACCTTTCTTTTCTGGTATTGATTTCATTTAGTTGCTAATCTGCTCATTATGTTCTGTGTTGTCTTTGTTTCCCACGGCTAAAATAAAACTCCCCAAATCCCAAAGAAAAATCTAACCTTTCCAATTCTTCTCTTGTTCGTGAGACTAATCTCAATGAAGTAAGTGGAAATCTCCAGGGTGAAATGCTGTGTATTAGAAGGCAATCAGGCCTTGTTGCTGTAGCAAGGAGTGTTTTGCTCCCCTCCTGTTTAGTTTCTGGTAGCAGGACCCTTCAAAGGGAATGTTTAGCCTTAAGCCTTTGCTTTGAGAACCATCTGCCTTTGCGTCATTGCTATTAAAGATATATATAATCTCAAACCTTGTTTCTTTGTGCCAGGAATCTCAAGATGTTACTGTGCCATGTGCTGTGAAATGCTGTACTAAAAAGCCAGCCATATCTCATGATTTTATGGATGAAAGGCTCCCAAATCGCTTTCCTCCCCTCCTACCACCCCCACAGGCTTTTCAAATAAGACTGAAGAGGACAGCAGGCAGGAGATTATGGGAAGGAGAACTGAGTTTGATATTTCCAGTTTTAAATAGGCCTAACTGTGACTTCTGATCATTAAGTGACAGGAACAGCTTTTCAGGCAATTGTGTTCAGGACCGAGTTTCAGCCGTGTGACTTGTTCTCACTCACTATCTCTGCAAGTGTGGCTGGAAGTTTCCTGGGTCACAGAGGTCTGATGGAGATGTGTCCTGACTACACACAGGAAAGCTGCACTCCTGCTGGCACTATCCTTGGCTCTAGCTGGAATAAAGTCACTCTTGATGAGCATCCTAGGAAGGGGGATAAGGGAGGAAAGGGGGTGGGGAGGAGTGGGTCTACGCTATAGAGCTGATGAAGACCTCGAGACTCACTGAGGATCCTCAGAATTTGGCTTCAGATATCTAAACTCAATTTTTTGAAGCAGGCAGTAGATGCTCTTGAAAATGTGTGTTTTATAATGACCAAGAGCTTTTCATCACTCTTGGCTTCTAGGGAAGTCTTACATATTTAGCCTTTTCTGAGCAGACTGGGGAAGATCAGCCTGTTTGTTTTTGTATTCAGTAGAAATATCAGACTGAGAGGGTATAAACCTTGACGGTGTTCTTTAATGAATATTAAAATTACTATTTCTTATACTGGTATGGCCAGGGAGTAAATAATAAAAAAGAGCTTTTGCTCTAGCTGTTCTGTCTCCCAAACTGGGACTGCTTGTTTCATATTCCAAATGAACGATTGCCAGTTCTCAGGTTAAGTGCCTCAGAGCTGTATCTTTTGGATCACAATCCCCCTGTACGTTGCCTGTGTGATATCCTTCCCACAGGGTTTGTTCATAGGCACTGAGTCAATGCTGCTGCAGGGCTGGATTTACTGTGTGTGCTTGGATTATGTTCCCAATGTGTGCACAGAAGTCATGGAGCAGGACACACAGTGTCCTTTCAGGGAGTGCTGGGGCCATGGGTCCTCCTGGGTAAGTACTACCCAGTGCTTAACCTTGTCTCCTGCAGAGTCTGTATCCCGCCAAGAGGAGCTGTTAGAGTGATTCATGGCAAATTCTGTGGCTCAGCCAGGTGTCATATGCATCACTCCAACTGCAGCCTCCAGACCTTTGTCCTGTCTTTGGACTTCACCCTTGCTCACCGTGGATGGGAGGAAAGGCAGTGAGCTCTCAGGGAAATGGGGTCCAGTAATGGGGAGCTGTCACTGTCAGAGCAGTTGGCCACCTGCAGGCTTATCTGCAGGGACACCTGAGAAATGGTCCTTAGGAGTGTGTGATGGACCTCATCTGGTTTCCTGGTGAGGGACCTTAGAGTGACAGACAGATGCCAGAGCAGCCCACGACTGCAGCTGAACAGGAGGGTCACTCTGAACCCCTCTCCCAGCTGAGAGGAGCAGGCACTGATCAAGCTGCTGTTGGAATCTGTCTTAATATTTATTGATTTTCCTTCTCAGCAAGCTGTCTGGAGCCATTGTGGACTGGAAGGCTGGTCTTACAGAGCTCCCCAGCACCTACATTGCTGCTTCCAAGAGCTCTCTGCCTCCACAAGAAACACTTTAGGGAGTATTGCATAGCTTTTTACACCAGAGGGAATGTCATTCCTAATGCTCTCAAATAGGCTTCAATCTTTTTATCTCTGCAATGCACTGCACAAAGGACCATCCAATGGTCTCAAGACTTCATAGTCATAAAGTTGGTTGTTTGAGGGTTAGAGGGCTGGGAACTTATACCTTTCTTTCTCAGAACTAAGTTGTATAATGGGAGAGAAAGTGTCGAACTGTGATTTGAAAATGTCTTCCACAAGCTCTTTGATGTGGAAGAACTCGTTTTGCTCTTCTAAGTGAACTTTCACTTCCAAAACACACACATGCTCTTTGTATTTTATTTTTCAACTCTTTATTTCCTCTTTTTCCTTTAGATTCATTCTCTAACATCAAGAGTGTGAACTCTTCTGATGGTAACCTAGACATGCAGAGAGACTGTAATACCCTGGCAACTTAAAATTTCAGTCATGGATTAAAATGATCAAGAGAAGATGTTTGAGGTACCCTTATTTCTGTTAGCTTTGTTACCTAACCCTAAGTGACAAAGTAAGTGAGCCTATGGACTTGCTGACATTCAGCAAAGCCGTTCAGTAGCATCAGTATTAGCTTTGAAGATTTTTTCCTTCCATTTGGCATTTTTTCCCCCCATTTCTGCAAAATACATGTTTCCTGTTTATCCTTATATTCTTTTCAGAACATTGCATCTTGACTTTATTTCACTTAATGTACCATATTTCTCTCCACAATAGAATATTTTAAAGCTAAATTGGCACAAAACAGTAGCAATGCTGAATGCTTTTTGTTGCCATGGAAATATTTCTGGGCACTTACTGAAGACCTGGTTGCCAATAGTAATGTAACAGAGAAAATAGATATGCTTCATTTAGCAGCCACTGGTGATTAAAGAGCCACAGAAACCTGTTCCAAGGTCATTCCAATATATAGTTTATTTGGTTTAGGGGAAAAGTCCCCACAGCCCTAGATGAAAATCATTTTGTTTTAGAAGACATGCAAAACAAAATCCAATAGACGTTCCCTTCTCTTAAACTGACAGCATGCTTCTGAGATGAAATAAAATAACATTGTAGTTAAAAACCATCATTACTCCTTCTCCTTTTTATCAAATATGCTTTTGATCATATTTTTGCCTCCCAGGAAATGTTTCCTAGCTCCCAGAGTAGATTTTCTTAGCCTGTAAAGCAACACACACATTATTGAAAACCATTTTTAGGCTTAGGAATCTAATAAAATGTTGGAGTAATGAAATTTTTGGATTCTTAAGTCAAATGTCTGTCAGACACTGTGAGGTATGCTAATCACAGGGTGCAGGTTTGGCTGCTGCTGAGTCCTGGGCTGTAATTAAATGATGCTACTAAAGTTGTAGCAAGGTTTCAAGCAAATGCAGGGAAAAGTTTTTAACTTTGGATACTTTTGGTCTGCAGTTTAATAAGGAGAACGTAGTTCAGCAAGAAATATTGCAACACGGGGTGTTTGCTTTAAGAAGCTAGTGATGAGAAAGCAGAGCCTTCTGTGCATGCAGATCCTTGCCACCACTTGCAAATCATGTAGATGTGAATTTTGCAAGTACAGATGAACTTGCTCTTGCAGACCCTTGTCCATTGTCTGACCTGTGTTTCTGACAGATAAATGCACTTACATCACAAAGAAGGGAGAGAGTAGCCTCTGCATCCCCCTGTGGCTAAGATATTGCTGCTCAGCTGACTAGGGGTGGCTGGCAAGAGTGTAGCTGCCAAATCCATCATTGCACATTTGGCTTAAGAATTGGAAAAATATCAGTGGAGCAATAAGCCACATCTAAAAGTAGTGCACTGCAAGGAGAGGAGTATTGCTGGCCAGTCCTTCTGCTTCCCAGCATGAATCTATAGGGGGGAAAAAAGTAATAATGAAAAAGGTGAAGAACAGCAATAACTGTGCCATGAGAGCAATGGCTTTAGCCCACTTCTTCCTCAGGGCCCATGTTCTTGGCAAAGAGAAAGTCAAAGTGACCATTAAGACATCAGTTTTGGCAGACACTGCCCTGAAAAGGCACAGGGACAGACACACCAGCAGAGCTGAGTTTTCTGAATCAGAGTTGAACTATTTTTGCATCGTGAATTCTGTGATGGAAGAGTCTCCCAGGCTGTCTGACACTGTGTTCCTAACACTGGGGTAATATATAGGTGAGCACAACACTTCAGCTGCATGAAGTCCCTGGAGATTTTTCCTCCCATCAATTAGACAATCTCAGTGCTAGCTAAAGGTTGCATTTCAGTTGCACCAGAATAATTTTTGTGACCTTGGTATGCTTGGAAGTGTGACATCCTAATAAGAATCTTGTCTGGATGGCTGGATAGTTCTCAATGCATGTGTAAGGGGAGGCACACCTCTGAGGCTCTGGGAGTTTTTAAAACTAGAAAGCACGATTGCATTTACTCACCTTGGCCTCCAGCTTAACAGGGGTCATTGATTTTTGCCAGTAATTGCTGTAGTAAAGGAAATCATTCTTTCTGCAGTATATGAACACTCCTGACCTCAGTAAATGACCCTTCATATGGCCAGGAAATCTAAGCAAGGAGTGAGTTTTCATTAGGACCTATGAACCCATATAGCAAAATATGGGTTGATATGCTATATGATGATCAGCATCAACAAAATGATGCTGATTATGTGATAAATTAAGCTTCTGCTTGAACCTGAGACTGAAATAGATAGATGGCCAGTTTCCATGTAAAGATGTAGAGTGTTTATGAATTTTATCACCTGGAGCCAGCCAGTGCTCTAGCCAGAATGGATCCCTATAAAAATCAGTGCCTGTAGCCCAAGCTGGACATTTAAAGAGGCTATGTTGAATCAATACCATCACAAGGACTAAGTGGAGGAAAGCAAAGAAAGACA